AGCGGGGGCGGGCACCGCGCACCTCCTGCCTTCGCTGCAGCGCCGGCCCCGCTCGGCGGGGAGGAGGGAGCGGAGGGGAGGGGAGCGGAGAGGGAGGGACCGGCCGAGAAGTTTCTAGAGGCGGCCGGGCTGCCGCAAAGCGCCCGGCAGTGCCAGGGGCCGGGGTGAAAGTGCGCGTCGCCCCTGGGGGCGGAGAGGGCGGCGGTGCCCGGGCAGGGAGAGGCAGAACCGCCTGGCAGCGATACGCGGGGGGAGCAAGAGGAGGAGGGAGAGTTTATTCCCGAGAAGAGGGGCAGGTGCGCCCACCTCTCGCAGGCGGTGCAGGGGGGCCCGGCCCGGCAGCGAGGAGGAGCCGCCGCGCCCTGCCCTGCCCTGCCCGGGGACAGTTTTACTCAAAGCTGCGTTTAGAGTAAAAGTAACCCTCCTGCCACCTCAGTACTAGCCGTCCTTTGCAGATGTGTGGGCTTGTTTTCTTCTTGCCCGCGCTGCGCTGGGCAGTTGTCACAGGGAAGGCGGTAGGAACAGGCAGGGAAGCATCGTGCTGACAGCGAGCGTGCGGCCCAAGGAGCTCGGGCATCCCGTGGCTTACCGGGCTGCAGATCCCGTTAGAAACCCTGGGCTTGAAAACGGTTCATTACCCTGGACCAGGAAAGGGGAAGACATGCCCAGGGCACAGAGCGTAAGCTCTGTGGCTTGCCCATCCATAACCGTCGGGGTAAGTAGCACCGTTTTGTGCCTCAACCTGCTGCTGGAATATCTGGGGATCATAAATAGGAGATGAATACTCTGAATATGAAGAGCATTAGTTGTAAGTGATCTGCCTCTGACCTTACTCTGCATCTGTCCATCCTCACAGGCTGTATGCTGCTTTGGGCCAAATCACTGGCAACTGTCGGTGATGTAAAAGAAGACCAGGATCTTCTCCATCATTTTGGGCATTAATAACTAAAGCAGAAGCATTAAAACGCATCCAGCCTTCCAGTGCAATCCATTAACACCAGCTCCCTGGCCAAAAGCTCCCTGGCTTTGCATGCACTGTGTGTCAGGTGTCATCTTCCTGCAGCACCTTCCCAGCCCTTCTTGAACTTTCCTTTCCTCTCCTCTGCTTTCCCAGTAGTTCCTGGGCACTGGGCGGGCAGGCTGACACTCAGCAGTCCCTCCTGCCTGCTACACTTGCTCCTCCACACCATTGGCTCCGAAAAAGAGCTGGGACTGCATGGCCGCCGCAACATAGCGTGCACCCCAGGAGCAGCTGAGGGAAGGACAGATACCTGCTTGTTGTGCACCTTCTGCTTTTGCATCTTCAGCATGATGTTTGATCCTTCGGTAGCAAAACTGGTCACTGAAGCTGGAAGGAGAGCAGCTCACAGGCTGGTGGTTGGTGTTTTGGAGTTGCTTTTCCGAACTGCATTGCTGTCTCAGGGCATGGGCCTGTGCAATGCAGGGATCCCTGGAACGGCTGCAGGAGGCTTGGCTACAGTGAGATTGCTCTGTGAGTATGCATGTTGCACCTGTGCTGGCTCCTGCATGCAACCTGGAGTTGTTCTGTGCCAGTATAAAGCTGCATCTGTGCACAGTGCACAATGACTCCAGCAGCCTTAAGTTGGCTCTGCCGATGCCAGAGGAAGGGGGTAGCAAAAGAGCCTAAATAAAGAACCTGTAGTTCTTCCAGCAGATGAGTGAAATCTACAGGTTTCTCCTGGAAAAGAGTATGCTTTTCTACCCCAAGCATACTCTTTAGTGTACCTAAAGTAGGGGGAAGATGGAGCAGGAGAGAAACTCTTTTGATTTCTCAATGCATTTGGTCTAGAAGTTTCTACCTGTTGTCAGTTTGCAATTTAACATGGACGAGTTATTTGGTTGCAGATTAAATCTGTAGGAGGTACAAACGCTAAACCCTGGTACACCGAGGAACACAGAAGCATCTAAGCTGGTTCTGGTCCAGCAGGTCTTGTCAGGGGATGCACAGCAAAAACATGGGAGATACTATTTCATCTGTCCCCTGCCTAATGAGTCTGTATGGTACTGAATTTACATTCTCCAGTCAGCACTAACACACAAGTTGCCTGCACTTCCAATTCATCAGGTCTGACCTCTCTTTTCACCTAGGCTGGTCATCTGCCCTATGTTTGGCAATGAAGTTGCTGTTTGGGACTAGTACTTTTTCAGCTGTATGCTGTACACTTAATAATCCAGCATTTGAAAACTGTAGTATGTGGAAACAGTGCCAAATTAGCTACAGCTGCCAAATGTGCTAGAACCAAGTTTAGGAAAGTGATAAATAATAAAAAAGAAAGGAGATCTTACAGTGGAGATCTCTTACAGGTGTTACATATCACATATATGTTCAGCCATTTCCTCGTTTTCAGCATAGCAGTGAAAACTTATGTAATTCATTTAAACCCACTACTACAGGCTATGTCCCTTAGTAACTTTTCAGAGACTGCTTAGATATTGTTCAAGGGCCTTACTTAGAGTGCAACAGACAAAAGTTAAGAGTGGACTGTATGTGGAGGGCTTTATGGAAAAGGGGGCAGAGATACTAGAAAAAAGTGTTTCAGGTGATGTCAATGCTGTAATGCTTCTGCAAGGGTATGTATGGGTGGAAGGCAGGTCAGAAGAGTCTCCCTTGTCTTTTAAGCCTCATTTTTAAGCCTCTCAAGTCATGTTTATAGTACCACAGCACTGGAAAGGAGCCTTAATGTCACGTCAGGCCTGTTTTCAGAAGATACGTGGTAGAGACAATTTTGAAATCAAAATCAGTAACTGAGCAAGGTGGGGAGAATACAAAGGAAAGATTTCAGAAGTTGATGAGTATGCTTGGGAGAGGTGAAAATGAAAATTTTGGCAGTAGCTTTCAGGCAGAGTGAAAGAGAAGTGAGATGTTTGCCTGAAATAGCAGAGAATAGCCTGGCCGGTAAAATGTCCTGAAAAACAACTAATTGCAGCAAGAGTCTGGAACAGCCTCCCAGGACATGAAACTGGTTTGCAGTGTGCTAGATTTATGAATAGGTTTACATACAGACTTGCTAGAGATAATAAGGCTTGGACATAAAACATGAAAGATGGCGTAGGGCAACACAGCTCAGCTGTAGCTTTATTGATAGGTTCTGCACAGGCAAGGGTGAGATTCGGGGTGGCCTAGCCCAGCGAAAAGGAAGGTGCTGTCAAAGGGTCAGCTTCCTGGGTATGTCACCGCACAAGCGACTGCTGTGACTGCCTGGAGCGTGGGGGTTTAGGGGTTTACTTGCCCAGTTGCGTGGGTTGGGCTGGGACTGCAGACTCACATGAACGGGGAATAAGGAGTGAGGAATGCAGGTCTGTACAAGCTCAGAGATGACAATGAGATAACAGCAAACCGAATAACCAAAAAGGGAACAACCCTGAGTGTTTATTTGTGATCAGAATGTGAACTGAGCCCAAGCTCATCGTGAGCACTGGGTTCAGCCTTGGTTGGCTTGAAAGGGCTAAGCAGGGGGCGTAAGAAAGGGATAAAGACAGAAGCCACACACTCTGTGTCAGCTCGGACTCACTGCCAGCTGGCAGGCGGACCGACAGCCCAGCCATTGGCAGGGACAGCCCTGATTGCCAACTGCCAGGGAAGACAGTTCGACCCAGGGTGTCTCAAGCATGGTGTGGACATTCCTGGGGAACCTAATACTAGAGGGATAGCTCAGAGGACACGGGCGAGAGTGGGAATTTGCACACCCATGTTATTTGAAGTAAGGCCTTAAAACATTGGTTGATGGTATCTATCTATCTGCAGTAATGAAGAAAAAAGTAAGTTGAGGGGGTTCTGGCATACATATCTTCTGAGTGATTGCTTGGTTAGTCTCAGAATCTGAAAGAAATCCCAGATGGTCCTCTGTCACACTGAGTCAGAAAAGAACATGATTTAAGAGATCAGGGATTGCTTGTAATACTTCTGCTTGTTGCATTATAAAGTATAATGGTGCACGATGAGGAGGAAGCAATGTTCAGTTTATGCGAATTGCACTTTTTTTTTTTTTTTTTTTCCTGCAGTAGGCACTGCTACCCTTGAAGTCCACAGTAGGGCACAAACCTTCATCAGTCTAACCCTGGGTTGTTAGTTTGTGTGATATGTCTGCGATAGGCTGTTAAAGGTGTCAGTTGCTGCCCACCACCTGAGTTATATCTGCCTGTTGTTCATTTTCAGCCTCAGGGTGCTGTCCCACTACCCCTGCCCTCCCTTGCTCCCCTGTAGTACCCAGCAAAACAAGGCTTGTTCTGTCTTTTTAGTTCAGAAAGGATAAAGTTGTTATTTTTCCTTATCCTTTACCACATCACTGCAGACTATAGTAGATTGGCGTGGCCCACATGCAAAGAGCATTAGGCCTCTTCTCTGTTCCTTTTCAAATGAAAACAGTGGTGTTACACTTATCCCCTGCTTTAGAACCTAGCAGCATTGAAAGGGAAATGATCTGAGCTGTTCTATAGCAGGCATGCCAATGAGAGTCAACCCTCCAGCCTGTGGACTGGAAAAGGGCCCTGTATCTGCAGTGCTGGAGGTTTCTGAGCTGCTCTGCTCCTTTTCACCAACAGATGTCAACACTTTTCTAAAACTACAGGCTGTATAACTTGCATTTAGGCAAGTTCTCTTTTTTTTAAAAAAATTATTTTCTGGTAAGGTTATGATTTCCTCTGTGCTGCTGCACATTAGTTTCTCTTATTTGGTAATTTCATTGTGTGCTATGTGCTGTCCTTTTTAGATCACAGATGTAAATTTTTAAAAAGACTAAACAGCACTTTATTATAGATATCTCTTCTGATTCAGTGTATCCCTGTCTGTACTGATCATAGCCCATCAGCCTGCTTTCAGTTCACAGGAAGTTAGTAAAATTAATTTTAATTAAGAAGTTAATTACCTTTCCAAATGCAAAATTATTTTAAAATACCCAGACAGATGTTATCAGTTGCTTTCATTTTGTTCTTTCCTTGCCTTATCTTTAAAAGCAACTAAGACTGCTGGACAAATGCATGTTTAGACATTCAGATTTTCTATTTCTTTGCATCCTGTTAGCCACTGGGTGTACCCTAATGTGTGCATGTTAACACCACCAGAAAGGATGGACAATTCCTGGGGTTTTTTTTCCTTAAAACACAGCAGCATTTTGCGAGGTTTGGTAATTGTAGTGTTTTGTAATCTACTGCTGTAAAGTGTCATATGAAATTAACACCAATAACAGTAATTGCAGATGGTAATTGCCTGATTGATTCTGCTGCGCTTTTACTAGAACTTCTTTTTGATGGTTTTATTTGTTTTCAATCTGTTTTCTAATAACTCTAAACACTGTAAGTGTAAAAAAAAATACAGTAACTTCTTTGGGTAGTTGCTCTCTTGACCTAATTTTAAAGTTGTCATTAACTTACAACTTCTTCTTTGGCTCTTTTCCCTCTGATGTATTTAGCTTGCTTTCTTTGACTTTTGTTACTTTTGTTTCACTTTTGATGCCTTTTTTTCTAACATTGTCTTTCCCACTCAATCTTTCTTGCTTGGCTGCCTCCCACTTCTCCATCCCGCTTCTCCAGCTGTGTCAGGGGAAGTTCAGCTTGGACACTGGGAAAAGGTTCTTCACTGGGAGGGTGGTAGGTCACTGGAACAGGCTCCTCAGGGAAGTGCTCACACCACCAAGCCTGTCACAGTTCAAGCAGCGTCTGCATGCCACTCTTAGTCATATGGTTTAGTTTAGGTAGTCCTGTGAGGAGCAGGGAGTTGGGCTTGATGATCCTCATGGGTCCCTTCCAACTTGAGATATTTGATTCTATTATCTCCACTAGGTACCTTCTTTTACCATAGTTTTGAGCAGTTCTTTAAGAAAGGTTGTTGTCCAAGTTTAAATGTTGTATTCTCTTTTGCATGCAATCCATTGCACCTGAATTTATTGATTTATATTGCCACCCTTCTTGCACATTTTTTGATCTTTACATTCTTTGGCTTGCCCCACCGGTGGCTTCATGGTGCTTGTGCTTTCACAGGTGTTGAAAAGGGTGGAGAGGCATGCAGAACATACCCGAGCTGTTCAGTACTGAGAGTTGTCGTCTCCATCTTCAGGTTAGTACAAATTTGACCCCATTCTCAGGTGGTTCAGACTCACAGTTACTCTGGATGTTGTATGTATGTGAGCACACGCTGGCTAAAGCCAAGTTCCTGATCCTCCAGCGGTGCAGAGCTTGAGCACATTATTGCCCTAACAGCAGCACAGGCTCTCGCTTTTATGCTTAAGCCAGTTCTAGATCCCGCTTACTCTTGCAGTGTAGACACTGCCTTTCTTTAAAAGAATATGCCATAGAATTTTGAAGTACACTTGCAGTTTTAGTGTATATTAAATTTGCATCTGTTCTATGCAGCACACAAGTCATAGAATCACAAAATCACAGAATGGTTTGGGTTGGGAGGGACTTTCAGTGACCATCTAGCTGAAACCTTCTGCCCTGCTGGGACATCTTTCACTAGGTCAGGATGCTCAAAGCCCTGTTCAACCTGACTTTGAACACTTCCACTGATGGGGCATCCACAGCTTCTCTGGGTAACCCATTACAGTGTCTCACCACTCTCATCATAAAAAAATTTCTTCCTTGCATCCAATCTAAATCTACCCTCTTTCAGTTTAAAACCTTGTTAATGACAGACATAGTGAATATAAGTACTTTTGTCTCTTCAGAAAATGCTGAATGTCAGCATTCCTCTGCTTGCTCAGTTTGTTGGTAAATATGTTAAGAAGCAAGAGCCTGCCTACAGACTTTACTGCCTACAGACTTTGCAGCATACTTGGTGCTTGGTTACTGTGCAGACAGCTAGACTGTAAATCTGGAAGAGAGGAGAGGCTGGCAACCCCCAAAATCACCCCCATTTAGGAAGAGCAGCTGAATCCCTAGAAATTGTGTATGTATCACTCACTTAGGCTGCCTGTGATCCACCCCAGTGGCTTTCCTGTGCCTTTTATCCCGTTCCTCTCAGATATTGCACAATCCCATACTTTTTACTCATGGAGATCCTCACAGGCTTTACAGGGACCCTAAAGACTCACCCCAAAGTGACAGCGCTTGACACACAAAGTCTGTTCCCCTATTCACCCTTAGAGCCCCCCCAGGTCCTCTGTCTCCCAGAAGTATTCTTCCTGAGTAGACCAAGGGGTATTCTTTCCTTTGCACCACATCCCTTTTGTCTGGGTGTGATGGCTTGTGGATGGAATCTTAAGTGAAATTTAATGAAGCCCCTATACATTCCCATTGCATTTTTGTCCCTTTTCCAGATCCAGAAGAAAGGCTTGGAGAGAATTCATCATCTGACAGAATTTATAAATGTATGTTCCAATACCTACACAATATCTCGGCTCTGTGGGGAGTGGGAACTGTCTGGAGGTGAGAGGTGGAAGGGGCAGGAGGAAAGACAAGCAATCAAGAGTCTTTGACTCGTTCAAGACACTGTCATGGAGAATTTGCACTGCCATGTTAAGAAGGGAAGCAGCTAGGAACCAAGATCTCCCCCTTCCCTCTGTGTATGCCCACACAACATACAGCTCTGCAGTTCATGCAGTTCTTGTTAGACATGAGTGTTCTTTGTCCCTCCTGTGCCTTCTCCAGAAAGAAGAGTTTGCCTGTAGTTGTGTCTGCTCTGGGTCTAGGGAGTACTCTTCCTTCCTTCTCTCCATGCTGAAATGGTTAATACAATGGAAATGGAGAAATTGTGATTACATAGAAATTGGAAATTCTGTTATATGGTGATAATTGCATTCAGTTAAGAGAGAGTTAAAATCCTTCCCAAGACAGCCATACCTTGTTCTGGATAAATGCCAGGGAGCAGCCATCCTTTTATAGGTCCAGAGGATGTTAGTTTCAAATCCTGTGATCAGAAGAAGGGTGCAGGCTAAGAAATAAGGGTCATTTTTTACTGAATTTACTTCAAACCTAGTCCTGTAGGGTAGTCCTCAGGTAGAATATGAGTTGCTGAAACTATCCATCTGATTTTTCTCTCCCCTACACCATGGTCAGTGTGTAGGTACATTGGTACCAAATCTTCGAAAGCCACCAGAAAAAAACTTCAGTATTTTCCAAAGTTGTTTTACTACTTTGTTGCACGATTCCTGGTAAAACAATCTAAACCACTCAGACCTCATATTTGCTTTTAAATGTAGGACTTTCTCAAACCTGGGGAAACAAAGCCAGAAGTCAGACAAAGCCAGCAAAGAAGTGGTAAATTACTGGGAAATGTACTTCTTATTCTGTGTTAATCAGCAGCTTTGACTCATAAATCATACAAAAACCAGCAGTGGAGTCTCATGAGAGTTTGAGTGAAAAACAGGAGCTTCCAGGCATGTCTAGAGGATAAGCAGTGGGAATGATGCTGTCGATCAGGTTGCTGTTTCTGAGCACCCTGGGGCTTGTGACAAACCCAAATCAACAATGCTGCTTCTCCAGGATTTCTCCATTTTCCTGTGTTTGCATGCTGAAGATTTGCTTTCAGAGTAGCCAAATATGAAATGTGTGTGAAGACCAGAGAACGCTGCTCCAGTGTTGGCACGGGGTGCTACCAAGGAAAGGGCCAGGCCTGCCCCAGCTCCTTCCCTTGCTGTAGGCGTTGTGCTCCAAGTCAGCCTTGTGAATCCTGAACGACAGGAACTGGGTGGGACTGGGTCATACTCTCTACCTCAAAACCTTCCTGTTTGCACAGTTGCAGCTGCTCCACCTCAGCAGAAGATAATTTTTGGTGACGAGCTAAGCCAAACTTTCAAACTGAGGGAGCCTAAATAGAGCACGTGTCACTCACAGACCTCAAAGAGCTTGGCAATCAAGGTCAGTACCACTCTCCTTACTTCGTAGACGGGAAAACAGGTGAAACAGAGCTGCAGAAAAGGGAAATTATTTCCTTCAGATCATGAGGCAGTTTGTGTCAGGAAACTAGGGCATGAATCTCCTGTGCCCAGACCTTCTCTCCTAGGTAATGCATGACTTTGACAGTTATTCCAGGGGAGCTGGTTGTCTCCATCATTTCTGCTGAATCTCCTCCCCCTCACAGCACCTCCTAATACTGAACAAGAGCTTATAGTGCCTAAAGAGAGGTAGAAAAGTACAACTTGGGAATACCATCTTGCAGCAACTGTGTGTAGCTCTGTACGTATTCAGTTAGGAACTAAAATGTGAACTGCATGCTTGAATTGTACTGTGTATTGTGTTGATAAGGTCATTTTATTTTCTGGCTATTTCCATGTAAATCACCTCTACCAGGCAAGTTCCTAGTAGCCTCCGGCACCCTCCCTCTCCAAATAAATTGTTAATGGGAAAGTGAATGCCTTTATTTCCCTGTTCTCCACCATGATGCATAGCAGAATTTGTTGAAATGGTGACTTTCTTTTTCTCCATCATCATGATATACTTGTCACTTCTGTTTAAATGGTAAATAGTGTGATAACAAAGCCACAAGTTTCCATTGAATGATTCCTGTTTGTTTGGAGTTCCTACTAGACAACAAAGAAATGACTCCACAGGGTTGTTACAACTGTTCTTTATTGCTGAGCCATACTGTAATGAATGTTGCTTTTCTCTCCACCAGATAGGAGTGACCTGAAGATGAAACCCTCTGCCACCTATGAGCTGTTAGTGGATGGTGTTGGGCCATGGGACTTCACTGGCAGTTTTGTTCCTTGTGAGCTGCTGCTTGTTGGAGAAGATGCCTACCCTGTGCTTGTGAGCTCTGAGAAGCAGGTTCTGATTGCTGTTTCACATTATGGGAAGGGCCGGATTGTGGTTGCTTCCCATGAGGGAATTTTGAAAGACTCCAAGTTTTCCCAGTTCCTCAGAAATGCTGTGGAATGGCTTAAGCCTTCCCCCGAGGCGCTGGTTGGGGTCCATCCTCACCTGGATTCCCTCTCCCAGCTGCTGCTTATGGCTGGTGCCAAAGTGCAGGCTGGGGCAGAGCTCAGCCCCTCCCTGGGAGTGTACTGTATGGATGCCTATGGCAGCACGAAGGCAAAAGACCTGGTTGACTTTGTAAAGCAAGGTGGAGGGCTGCTTATTGGAGGCCAGGCCTGGTACTGGGCTAGTCAACATGGCAAGGAGAAGGTGCTGTTTGAATTCCCTGGGAACCAGGTGACCAGCGTGGCTGGTGTGTACTTCACAGGAAACGCTGTGGAGAAGGGCATCTTCAAAGTTGCCAAGAAAATTCCCAAGATCCCATTAATTGTCCCGTGAGTATTTGAATTGCTCTCTATTTAAACAACTGATGAGGTTATGTAGGTGAGGTTTTTACAGAAGATTCTTGAGGGGAAAGATAAGGACGATGGTGAATGCTGGTTCTTTAATAGCCAGGATGGGATGCAACTGTTGTCTTCCAATTTAAGGGGCACCTTAATGCTGTTTGCAGTCAGAAAGAATGCTGTCTTTGCTTCCAGGGCAGCTGAGCCAAGCCCGGGGAATTCATTCAAGGGGAAGGAAATGGGGGGAGCCATCTTTTAGAGCAGTTTGCCTGACCAAGTGTGCCTGAGTGCAACACACAGCAACACGGAACAGGAGGAGGATCTCCTCTCCCTCTCCCCACACGTGTGTACATGCAGGGCAACTTTCCCACAGTTCAAAACCAGGCTAGAGATGGAGCACCAGGCCAGCCCTCTGGGCCAGGCTCTGGCTCGCAGCTGCTAAACCTGTTTGGCCTGTTACTTGAAGAAATTCACCTTCTGCAAATGAAACCCTGGGGCTGGCGAGAGCTGAGGAGAGGCAGGTGCCACCTCCCTTCTCAGCTTCTGTGCCCACAGGCTGTGGGTAGGAAATCTCCCTGCTCCCAGTTTGTTAGGGATTCCAGCCTGGTCCTGAAGCAGCAGGGCTTCAGGAAAACTCGGGGCTATTGTAACTCATATCACGCAGCTGACCAGGCAGCAAAATCCTAGGTGTTGCTCTGCCATCTTCCTCCACCTCCCCTTGGCAGTGGGTGCGCCAGGCTGTGCCTTGCACCACTTTCTGCTGAGTTACACAAGGTGCAGCGGGTTTTCTGAGAAGCAGGAGTGCTGCTGCATTTCCTCCGTGTGGCACCTTCATTTCACTGCAGTGAAAGCTGTGACAATTACAATAAAATTCCCTGCAAGTCTTTCCTTCACAGTCTTTTACCTGTGGGTAGATAATACTATATTTCTAGCATTTTCAAACAAATAATTGCATTTGATACTTTCTGGATGCTCAGTTTGTTTCCCAATAAACATAGTAGAAATCTCTGCTGTTGAATTCAGTGAAGTGTTTAGGACACAGCTAACAAATGAAGTTACTTAATAAAATTTGCTGACCGATTCTCATTCCCACCTGCATCGCACAGGTATGTTCCCGCTGCCTCATGCACAGTGCATGGAAGAGGGAGAGGAATGGAGAATTCAGCAGAGAAAAATTACATGGCAATTAACAAGATTTTAACTGGTCACTAAGGGTGAATTACACCTTGTTTAGGGTGCTTTTGTGGTGGTTTTGATTGGATCCAGAGCCACAGAGAAATTTAGATACGTTATTTCTGTGCTACACAACAGCTTTGTGCATCTGGGCCTTCCTGCTGGCCTTTGCTTAACCCACAGAGAAATCAGACTGCAGTCTGAGGCAGGTGCTATGCCATATGCCTGAGAACATACTCTGTCTGACAAAGGGTTTCAGTAAAATAATAATCAAAGGAGAGCTGCAGATTTAATTCCTGTCCTATGGGTGTGCAGAAGGGCAGCTTCATTTATTCTTACTGAGTTGGCTGCAGTGGCCACCTAACAACAGATTCTTTCCAGGTGTTGGGGGAAAACTGTGTTTGGCAGAACCAGGAGAAAGTGTAGACAAAGCAAATGAGAGTAATTCAATATGTCTTACTCCACAGTGACATACAGGAGTTATACGGAAATAGCTGAGATAAGAGAGCTTTGCACAGTATAATCTCATTATACTGTGGAGACTGACTAGTGGTAATGCTAATAACTGTGTTAGGGCTCTGATTCAACTTCCAGTTACTCATTATTGGTCTAGCTGTGTGTCTGCCTGCCTATCTGGCCTAGCTACCATTTCTTCAGTTCTCAGCAGTGACAGAGGCTGGGAGAAGATACAGAGACACCTTCTGGGCTTGCCTAGCTGATAATGACTAGGGTGGGGTAAACGGAAAAAATTTCTCTTATAGGAGATGTGCTAATTCCCACATCATCTGCAGCTTAAAAAAATTTGAAAGATCTTATGATTTTTGAGTTTCTGCAGTGTATTTAGATTTTCAAGCATCTTTTTAAAGTCAGAAGTCTAGAAACTTCCTTCTGATCTCTTTTTTCTCTCCATTTAAATGAGTGCTGAGATTCTTAACAGATTTTCTTGGCTGCAAAAGCTGAGGCTTTAAAAAGAGAAGAATTAGGTATTGATGGATTTTTATTTTTTTTTTTAATTTAAGAGCTGACAACATGATGTACTAGAATGAGGGAGGAAGAAGAAGCAGGGATGGGCAAGGTGACCTTCTGTGCAAAGGATTCTGGAGTGGGAGCTAACCTGAACCTCTCTTGGTTCTGCAGGCACCAGGCTAACCTCAGCCTTGATGCTGAGTTTCTCCTGCGTGGTGTGTCGGAGCTGGATTTGGTGACAGGGGGCGTACCCTCCATCTTGCTGGTGCACGGTGTGCTCTCCTTCCCGCTCTGCCTGGACAGCTCGCATCGCTGCCTCTTAGCTGCAGCACGCTACGGCCAGGGACGTGTTGTGGTGGTAACCCACGAGGGCCAGCTGTTCTCCCCAAAGCTGGCCAGATTCCTGCTCAATGCTGTCTGCTGGCTGGATGCTGGGAGGAAGGGGCTGGTGGGTGTGGATGCCAGCCTGAAGAAATTGTGTAGCCTCCTCTCTCAGGAAGAGGTGAAGTCGCAGGTGTCCCAGCTAACGGGCGACCTCAGTGTGTACTGCTGCTCTTCTTACAGCGACAGAGAGGCAGAGAAGGTTCACGCTTTCGTGGCAGAGGGAGGTGGCTTACTGATTGGAGGACAGGCCTGGTACTGGTCTTCCCAGAACCATGGCAAAGCTGCTGTGGCAAAATATCCCGGCAATAAAATCCTGAACCGCTTTGGGGTGAGCATTCTGGGGCAGAGCATCCAGGCAGCTAAGCATCCGCCCGTGGGATCTGGGGAGCACTACCACTTCCGCAAGGCGCTCGCTCTCTTCAACAGGCATGTAGAGAAGCATGAGGAGCTCAAAGCCCCCTTGAAGGACTGGCTGCAAAGGCTAGCACAAGACTGTGCTGCTTTTCTGCACATCCCAGCCCACGACTGCCCTGCATACGCCTCGCTCCACCGCATCCTGGCCAAAGTGCTTCAGAGAAGTGGGATCCCACACGTCAGCGGTCACTGCCCTGTCAAGAGCAACTCCAAAGAGGCAGTCCTCCTCTGCATGGCGACCGAGCTGTCCCTCACCATGACAGACAGTGCAGTCCTAGTGCAGAAATCTGCTGCTGGGGTCTGTGCTCTCCCTGTCACTGTGGAAATTGATGGCACAAACCCAGGTGAGGAGTCTGTCTCCCTTCCTCTTGAGGCATCCTGGTGCTGGGATCCCTGGGGCACCTGGCCTCAGTGTGCATGTGTCTGTGTATGTCTGAAGGTGGGCGCAGATGTGCAATTTCACTGTGGGCTTGCATGGAGGCTCACCTCTGTGTAGTGACAGACAGGCTCCTTTTGTGGCCAGCCCTGATTTCAGCCCACTGAAACACCCCACAACAATCCTGCTTACTTGCTGTTGGCACACAGATGCTTGGGGAAGCACCACCTAACAGAGGTGCCTCAAGATACCTGCACAGCACAATGGCTTTGGCAAGAAAGCTTCCTTGAAAAACCCTGGGCTCTACACTGCAGGTTGTTGTTGCCATAGTTGTGCTGATACAACTGCCTATGGGACCATCCTACTAAGAGGTAGGAGTTAGGAACAAAAGGGTTATATTTTATCTAGATAATTTCAGCTTCAGTGTCAACCACTTGTGTCAGCACAGTTCATGGAGTAAGGTCTGGTTTTGGGGGTGAAAACAAGAGTCTAGAAGCATGGTGGGAACTTACTGGGCTGACACCACCACTGAAGCCAAGGTACTTGGTAATTACACCCAGAATGATTTGTCTAAACTTAGGCCTTGTATCTATACAACTTTGCTGCGATTCCTGCTCACAGCTGATATGTTTAAACTCCAGGTTAAATTATGCTAGTAAGATGTTATCCCCTGGACAGATTAATCTTGATTTTGTTGTTGTTGTTGTTGTTGTTATTAGAATATGATTGAGAGGAGTTGTTTCCAAAGTCTTCTGTTGAGATAAAGGAGGCTGTTCTGTTCTGGAGCGGTGATGTCTGAGTGCAGGGGGTATGCAGACGGAAAAGTTGTGGAATAACTGCTCTCTGCTTTTAACACTAATGAGCCAGGACAAAAGAGGAAAATTGTTAGGGCTGGCTGAACTGAATGCATCGTATCAAACACAGTATTTTGTTTGACTGGAAACATTCAGAATTTGTGTCATTTCACATAAACAAAAAAGAAAGAAATGCTAGCAAATCCTGAACACCAGTTCTAAACTGCCTTTGGTGCATGTTCAGCAAAACTGAGGTGAATTGGTGAAACATTGATATGGTCTAGTTAGCATTTTTCCTTGGATTAGGTTTTGCTTGACAAAACTGACCCTGCTTTCTTGGAGGACAGGAGAGGTTGTAAGTTGGGATGCTTTATGACGGTTCATCTATTTTTAGGACTTTTGCTCTTTGTATTGAAATATGCTTGAGTAAACTTTATGGCAGAGTGGATTTTGCCTGATCAGTACAGTGGAGATGGGTCAGTTTTGCACTGGGTATCACAAGTGTTTAGAGATCTGGGCAGAGGAGACTTCTGTTTCCATGGGAAAACTGTCTAGAAACGTGCTGAAGTATAGTGGTGTGGTACCCATCTTACAGTTCCATCTAGCTGTCTACATCTACATCTAGACTGTGCTTTTAGGCTTTATCATAACTTCAGTCAGCTAGAAATGGGAATTCTGTGGGCCTCAGCTTGGGCTGGACCAGTCAGTAGGGAAAAATGCGCTGTCACTGTCAGTCTGTTATTTAGGAAATGTTTTATAACTATTACATCTTCAACTGTGTTTAATACTGCTGGAGTATGCACCTCTTATGAAGGCGTTAGAGTTAAGAGGATCTGAGTGGAGGAGGTGTTGGGGGTTTTGGTTTCTTTTTTTTCTTCTTATTTTTAAAAGATACTAGTAAACACATTTAAGCTTGGCATCTCCAGAAGTTCAAATTTGGGTGGGATTGCTTGCTAATGGTGTGATGATCTTGTTCACCCTGCTCTACCCTACTGCTTTAAAACTGTACTTCTGACAGGTTGGAAGAAATATGAGACAGTTCTGGGAGTGTTAGAGCAAGGGAAAAGAACATGATGGAAGATTCTTCTTTTGCAGCTTGAAATCTCCGGAATCTGTGTCAGGCCAAAGAAGTGCTCGACTGATTATGATTAGGACTGTGTTTTCTTGCCTTTTAGGTGAGACAGCCTGGAGAAGTACAGGACTCTACCTTCCTGAAGGGCACACAGCAGTTATAACATTCCCTTGCCTGGTGGTCGGTGCTGGTCTGAAGGTAAACTGTCTCTAATTCGGCTTCTGTTTATTATTTGTCAGGTGAGCACTCAAAAATAGCACGGAGAAGGGTTTTCTCCGTACTTGTTTTGCTGCCTTTTCAGTCCTTTCCTACTGCTGCCACCCTGTGGCACTTTCAATGCATTGTCATTTTTCACCTTGTTTCTCTGTTCTGTTACATTCCTCTTATTTCTGTGTGTTGGTGGGATAACTGAGTGTGCCTGCTGCCTGAAGGCAGCTATATTTGTTTTGTTATTGTGCAAAGAGAACTGACCAAGGTGATTTTCAGATTAAAAACTTGGGACCTTCTATGCACCAAACTTAGTTTTGTGTCTCTAGATCTCTCATTAGGTACTTTCACAGTCCTATCACTATTGCTCATGTAGATGTCTCCAGATCAGATATAAAGCAGTTACTTGGGATCCTATTCTCTGCAAAGTATGAAGCAGGTAAATGGTTACCTGCTTGGATAATTTTTGCAGTGAGCTCCCTGCAACTGAAATGCAAAGTTAACTCAGGTGTTTCTGTCTCATCCTGCAGCCACATGCTGTCTTGTTTACTGTACAAGGACCAAGGAAGAGGCACAATAAAAGAAGTCAGGAGTGATCACATCTCTCCAGCTCACATGTAACAGGATGTGACTTTGATGCTGGTGAAGGGTCAAGGAACGATCAATGCAAATACAGTGCAGTGAAAAAAGTCACTGTGGTACCCTGAAGTGCTGATGAAGGATGTAGTTGACCCAGTAATATTGGGAGTATGGCTGTAAGACACTGAGACAGGGAATAGCACTGAACTTCACCAGCTTCTTTTCACTGTATTTACTGCTTCTGGTCACCACAAACTGAAAACTTGAACTAGGCTGGAGTCAGAAGGCTGCTTCTGCATGCGTGCCCTGCAGGGACAGTACTGCAGCAGATGGCTCAGGGTGCTGTGGTTGGTCTGCCAGGTCACACTTGGAGCCCTCTGACCAGCTGTTCTTATCCTTCTGTTTGGCAGGTGCAGATTGGGTGTCACACGGATGACCTCTCTCACGCCACAGAGCTGAAGCGGGCCCCAGTAGTAATACGCACCTGTGAGATTGCCTGCCAGAAACAGTCTATTTCCTGCCTCTGGGGTGGCCTCGTTTACATCGTAGTACCAGCAAGGAGCGTCCTGGGAAAAGTGCCCATCACGGTAGAGGGGGCAGTCAGAGCTCCTTTCTTCAAGCTTGGCAAGTCTGTTTACCTTTGGTGCCTTTCTCCTTAGTGCTGCTTACAGATGCTGCTATCCCTGCGACTGAAAGAAAAGATGATCCTGTGCTTAGGAACATCTTAGAAATGGCTGGGTTTAGGAATACCCAGGTTTAGTTTCCTTGCTTTGTTGTCCTCATGGATTCTGGGTAGGTCACTCTCTGCCTGCTACGTGGCAGGAGGTAGGTGAAGGAGCTGTCACAAAATGGGCAAGGTTTGTCCAAACCAACGTCTCTTGGAGGTTGGAGTTGTCATTTCTGATGGAAACCGTTGTGTTCGAGGGACACAAGCTGACAAAGCCTTGCACTCTGCCTGCTTTACTGTGCCCCCCTATGGCCATCTCCAGCCCCTACAGTAAATCACTGCTGAATTTCCCATCTTTGTCAGTTCCTCTTCTCTTCCTGTATGCAATTTCTTCTTGCTCTTCTGTCAAACTGAACAAAACCAGGGTTGTTATATGAAACAGCAAATCTCTGCTGGAGGAGAAGAAATAAGATCATCAAGAGGTGCTGGAGAAAACCGATGCTTCTTGTTCTCAGATGGAAAACAGGGATCTGTTCTTGCTATGCTGCTACTCTGGTATATGCTAGTCCTTTTCTGTCTGTTTTCCATCCGTTAAAGAGCCTGAGGAGACTTCCCAAGTACAGGATGAGGATTAACTAGTTAACGGCCACCACTCCCAGTCACACAACTACCACATACTGTTTTGCAAGAGAATTCCATGACTGTGGTCTCTTTCCCCAGCTTGTCCTCCGTGAGTGTGTTCAAAAGTCAGAGCTGTGCTTAACCAGTTTTCTGCTGTTGATGTAGGGGAGACCTGTGAAAGCCAGTGGAAGGCCTGTATCCGGCACTACCCTGCTCCCTGGGCAGAACTGGCTGTTGAGAATCTCATCCTGACGGTGCCGTCTGACAGCATCCGCCATATGGAGAACCCACAGCCTCTGCTTACTCTGTGGAATGAGATCATGGTGGCAATAAGCAAACTGGCAGCCATACCAACAAAGTTCCCAAGGCCGGAGAGGATTGTAACAGATGTCCAGATCTCATGTGGTAGGTACTTTGCCATATGGCCTTCTCAAGGGCTAAAAGACAAGTGACCTCTAGCAGCAATGCCTGTTTCTTCAAGATTATTTTGCTAAAACCAGGCTGGAAACATATGTAAGGTGTTAAATGACTATGACCCTTGCATAACTGTGCAGGATGGAAACACGGTAAGGCAGGGCTTAAAAAAATATATTGACCCTTCCAGATGCCTCCCTGCTCTCAAAACTGGTGTTGTCTCACTCAGCTGTTCTTCTGCCTGAGTGTGTTAAGAGGCAGAGCTGCTGACTGCAGTGGCTTTGGCTCTCACTCTCCCTTCTGAATGCACTGCAGAGTCAGTACAGCTGGGAGACAGTGACCTGATTTCTATTTTTCTCTGCCTCAGCCACAGGACTGTTCTCATGCATTCAGTGACAATTGTTAAACCTGTGTGTGCCTCACTGCTGGAGATGAGCTTCACAGAGATTATTGTGGGCAAAACTTAGATGTGTGCCCGAGGTGATGGCAATAGAGCAGTAGAACCAGTATCACTGCCAAGGCTCATAAGTGTGTAGTTTTGCAGTGGATGCTCTTCCACCTCAGCTTTTCTAGTTTTGAACTGAGTGCATTTGATCTAGAGTCAAATTATATTGTAAATGTGGAACTTATATACAATTAATGCAAGTTTTGTTCAGTTGTTTTTCAAAATAGACTGGTTAAATTCATCATCCCACAATGAGACAAGGGCTTGGCATGAACCCGGATGTCCTAAACCTTTGCTAAGTCACATGGAAAAAAATTGTTGCACATCTTGGGAGTGTTAGGTTCTGCTATCCTGAGCAAATGCCAGTTAAAAAGATCATAGTCTGCAGACATAAAATTCCCTTCTGTTTTGGGTGGACTAAATAGTTTCACTCGCATTTCTGGACCAGAACTTTCTGGGTGCCAGTGACTGCTAAATGCATGCATCCCTCTTATTAAAAAAGAGAGAGCTCAAGACCCTAAAATAGTTCCTGCAGGAAGGGGGTTGCCATTCATGTTCTCCAATTTGGGTAGTCTACAACCTTAGTGTTCAAAGCCAGTTGTGTAGGCTGCCTACGTAGCGAGCGTAAAGGGCTGCTTATCTCATGCTACAACAGGTGTTCGAATTCAGGGATGTGACTCTTGCATGAAGTTTTGGGAATCTTCAAGAAGAAGGACAAATTAGGGTTGAAGACACCAAGGATACATAAGTAAAAGCTCTTGCAGTACAAAATTCTTGCCTAGCATGGTGCTGGGAAGTTGTTTATAGAATAGCTAAGCATGACAAGCTTTGCAGCCCTTAGGCATGACAAACTGTGACTTCCATTGTGTCTCATCCATAGCGTTGAGTGCTGGAGTGCAGACCTGAGTATCCACACTACATAGGAAGACTCAAGCTCTACCAGAGTTCTGAATCACATTATTGCTGTGCTCAGTTTATGAGAGTTCAGGTGTATTCTGGGTAATGGTCAAGCTTTTTACCTCATCCTAAAATCTCAACCTCAATCCAACCATCACTGTATGCTTATGTATAAAAAGGAAAGCAGGCAAAACTGTGCTTGTTCAGTACTATCTTTACACTGTTTATTTGACTATTTATTAAAATGAAACTTGTAGTATTTCCTTATCTCACAAAGGGAAATATTTGTCATTCATGGCAATAACAATGTGGTTTGTGAGATGGAGGAAAGGTACTAGAGAAATGGAGAAAAAAAAAAATACAGTCACATTTCTAAGAGGCACATGAGTGAGCACTTATGACGTGTTGGTACCTGTCTTTCCTGCAGGCTGGATGCATGCTGGCTACCCCATCATGGGCCACCTCGATTCCGTGAAGGAGATGTTAGACGTGAAGCACATGCAAACTACTGGTCTTTGGGGTCCTGTTCATGAGCTGGGACACAATCAACAGCAGCGAGCATGGGAGTTTCCCCCTCATACCACAGAGGCCACCTGCAACCTCTGGTCTGTCTATGTTCATGAGAAGGTGCTGGGGATTCCCAGGCATAAAGCCCATGAGGCACTTAGGTCACAGTGTCGGGAGGAAAGGATAAGAGAATATCTGAAGAAAGGCGCTCAGCTAAAGGACTGGGAGGTGTGGACTGCTCTGGAGACATACCTGCAGGTAACTGGGAAAAGCTGCTATATTCTTAGTGCAGAAGGATGTCTGCAGCTGGTGACAGTAGCTGTCATGCCTTGTGAGTGCTTGCTTACAATCTGGGTTCATCTTGGGTTGAGAAGGCACCTGAGAGGTATACAGACAGAGCATATAATCCTGATGATGTCTCCTGAAAACCTTCCTTTCTCAGACTTGGGTTTATCATCTTGGGGAGAGAGCTTAGTGCAATGTCTTTCTCCCTAGGAGAAAAACAGGAACTGCTTCTTGTTAAACACAGCATGGGAAAAGGGTGCTCAAACTTGGGCACAGCTCTTTAATCTGCTGCAGATTTCCTGTGAGACATTGGGCTAGTTGGCAAAAAACCCCCAACCTTGGCATTGTAAAGTGTCTGGAAGAACCAGAACTTACGAATTGTATGGCTCAGCTCCTCTTTACGAAACACAACAGAGCGGGGTGTTTGTGTCAGCTAATGCACTGAGTGGAGCCAATGTAGTCCATCAGGTGGCAAGGGAATGGGTTCAGCTTATCCTCCTGCACATGTAACTGGATCTCTCACTGTGGCCGAGATTCTAAATCATGAACCCTGTCCTAGATTAAAGTACATTCTCTTGGGAAGCATGCGAGAGAGATTTTTCCTTTCCCCCTTTCCCTTAATCCTCATAGCAACTAATAGTCTAAGGGAGAGAGCACTCAACCTAGTTTTAACTGGGGACTGTAAGGTAAATGTCCATTATGATGGCTTAAGTACTGACTTGTGAGGTGAGTATCCCTCAACCCACTTGTTTGTGAGCTCTCACATCTTACATGAACAAGAAAATATTTATTGGGGAAGTGTTGATCCTGATTTTTCCACATCCTAGGGAAGTGCCTGTATCATCAAGCTGAAGAATCAACCTGTTTTCACTGGTGCAACAAATATCAAAATAGTTATACAGAGTGGAACAGTTTCAAAAAGGGAAATTCTCCCACACTACCTTACCAGTTTGGCCTCTGCCCCAGTGCCTCACCCACACCCTATAGGCTGGGACCATCCATCTCCTGTCTGGCTACAGACAGAACTGCTGGGATAAATGTGACATGAAAAAACAATTAAAATTCTGTCTATATACTCTCACTATTACAGTATAGTGGGTATTTTTCTCCTATGGAACGTTCTCCACATTCCTTTGAGACCCACATTTGGCTGCCATTTAGACACTTTTCATATTCCTTCAATCCAGGAAGTCTTCAGCCTTCTTCAGGCCTTTTAGGTCCAATTCCTGTCTGGTTCTTACACTTCCGTGGCAGCACGATGTCCTGATGGAGCATACCATCTCTCAGAGTCCAGCCTGGATACCCATTTACCTCTCCAGGGTAGTCACTAATAGCCGTATCACAGTTCTTGCAAAAAAAAGAGTATAAAACCATTAGAAAATCAGTTAATTAGCTCAAGAGATTTACAGATTTAAATAGAACGACAAAACTCCTGTCTAGACAGTTCTGTCTCCACCTCCTCACTGCTTGCCTTGGAGTAAAGCCAGAGACCCCAAGGTTCTGTCTAGACCAGGACAAAGAAGCACTTGCAGCATGCTCCAGGGTGCTGGTTCATCCAGTTATCCAGGATGTGCCACAGTTCACCCACACAAGTACCTGTGTTTTCTTCCTATAGGAAACTTGTGGCAGGGGAGAGAACAGACAGTTTTCACTGTGGACATGTTGTGACAAGGAGTTGGGAAGTGTCTGGGATGGATACTTGAACTCGGGGTCGAGGAGGTGCTTCTGCATTCTGCAGTTCAGACACAACCTAACATGGTGTGGAGCCTCCTCCAGTATATGTTGGCTTAATGCTTTTGACCTGGCACAAAACCAGACCTTCACCTCCCACCTTCCACTCAGCCTCCTCGTGGCTCTCCAACCCTCTCACAAAAAGATACTGCCTAGTCCATAGCAGTCTCTGCACCAGGAGTTCCCATATCAGTGGGGGAATATTAAAGGTAGATAATCTGCCTGTTTGTTCTGTCTGATGTAGAAGTGCTGTCTCCTGCTTAGCTGTTCCAGCATGATGGAGGATTTGTGGAATGCAATTAATGTCAATCTGTTTAGTATCAGAAAGCGAGATGTAGGTCATGGCTTGGTAAAGAGCTATGGACACTGAGTAGACATTCTGCATCCTATCATGCTTGTTACAAGTCAGCTCCTCATATTAACCCCATCTTGAGCAACAGCTTAGGTTTCCCATCCCTCTTTAAGCTCATTACTCATGCAACAGCAGTTATTCTATCTGATTCCCTTTTGTTCTTATTCCTAGCCAAAGCATGCCATGCTCACAATCTCTCTTTCCTGTTTTCTTATTATTCCTTGTTCTCCTGTGCTCCTTCTTTCCACGTTTTCTGTCAGTGTCCTCTCTGAAGCTTTTATACTGCACAAGAAGCTTTCCTCTGCCCAAAGCAGCAGCTTGTAGTAGGTTGCTGACATTTCTGGCAGTTCCCAATGCATCTTTCATCTCTGTTTTGGGAGGCCAGTGTAATGGAAAATGTGTATTTTCCTATACTCTAGTGCTGTAAGTTATGCTCCAAAGCCTGGATGCCTTCATCTAAATTTACATTCATTCTTAAAAGACACTGCAGAAACCTATGGAGTTTCCTATTGCTTGTGATACAGAAATAATGCCAATGAGAACTTAATTGTTCTTACACTATATTCTTTATCAGTTGCAGGAAGGATTTGGTTGGGACCCCTTCATCCACCTTTTCTCTGACTACCAGAAGATGTCCACCATCCCAAAAGACAACCCTTCTAAGATGAACTTGTGGGCACAGAAGTTTTCTCAGCAGGTGAATAAGAACTTGGCTCCATTTTTTACAGCCTGGGGATGGCCCATCAAGAAAGAGCTGTCTGGGGAACTGTCTTCTTTACCCAGCTGGGAGCAGGACCCAATGAGATCCTATAGACCATGAAGAAAAAATATCTAAACCTTGATTCGCATACTAGCTATGGCCTATCTTTTCCTCATTGTGTGCTGCATGATAGCTCACTGGGTGCTTAGATTTACACTGAATTCTTTAGATTCTTGCTGTCAGTGTAGGTCAACCCCAGCAGAAATTCCACAGAAACTTGTGTGCAGATCAGCAACCATCTAAGCCATCTTCTGAAGAGTTAAATAATGAATGAGCTTTGTTCTGGGTTCTTCACCTCAGAAGGAATGTAATGCTGATTAGATTTAGTTCCTGCAGAACCTTTCTCTGATGAAGTAGAACTTTTCAGGGTGGAGCGGTCACTGAAGCGGTTTCAAGGACACCACCAATAGAATATGGATCTTTGAAGCAAATAGTAGCCTCCACAATGTTGTATTCTTCAGTTATAATCTCAGTAACATATCTTTCACTATAGTTTTGGTTACCCTGAAATCCCTAGTTTTTAATCACTTTAAGTATTCAGAACTTCCACACCTACTATTATGGAAGTGACCTTATAATGCTTATATACAGCTTATGTAATACATAGCTGATACTGAAATGCTGTAGATTTCTTCCTGTCTTGTATGACTGTGTGACCCAATGTCCAGCTTTATGTCAATAAGTCAATTATAAGTTGTAGATGTCACTTTTACCACAGCCTGACAGCAAGATACATGCTATGCAAGATGGGAGAGTAGCAAAGAGGTGACTTGATTGTAGGCAATAATGGTTTAACTCATGGACTCATCAAAGGTTAAAAAACAGGCACTGACATGACAGCGTGAGGGAGCAGAGAAAAGGAAGACAACAGTTCATCAAGACAGAGGACCAGCCTTTTCCAAGGAGCAACAGAAGCTAATGTTTCTCCTACCTCATTCATAACTGCTTGGCTATTATGGGGGCTGGCAAGCATGTTAATGCTTAGCCTAATAGCATACCAGTCCCAACCCATTCCTTGTGTATCAGCAATAAATAAAGCAATCATTGTGGACTTGCAGGTTGTGTATGTGGTCCTACTTTCATATCTCTCTGCCTAGTAAAAAAAGCCTAAATAGAATGACCCAAAGATTTGTTACAGTCACCCTTCATTTTTGTTCTGACTTGGATGTGGTTCTGATTTCCCTGTGATTCATTGGCCCGATATTTTGCTTTGTCTTTCAAACTTTCTTTCCATTCTTATTCACTACTAGTATGAGTTGTTCTTCCAATAAATAAATGCAGAGGCTAATCATAGCTTAGACAGTGTTTCTGTACAAGTTTAGTCCTGGTTTGGGGATTCGGAAGAAAATTTACATGGTATAAAGGTTTAGACCTGACCCTACCTACAGGAATGGATTTCAGCCCTAATGAGTTTATAAATAAAAGTTAGGTTCATGTCCATTAAAAAAAATGCTCAAAATATTATCAGATCTGTAACTTAAGTATGACAGGATCAGTTATTTTTTTCATGAATGGCACAACAAAATGGATTTTTAAGAAAAACAATCAAAAGAAAAAGATGGGGTTGGATTCTGAGCTAGGATGGACTGATCCAACCATAGGGATTCCAATGGAGAAGCTATAGTTTACACCAGTTCTAAATGCAGCCTGAAATATTTAGGCATATGTAGTAAACCACTTCAAAATTGGACTAACTCAAATTAATGTCATTCTCAGAATGATGTCTGTTCTCCTCCATAAAATAAAAAAAAATGATCATAGAAAAGATTGGCACACTGCAGGACTGAATTCTGCAATTGCCTACCCACTAGTTATGGTGCATGCTGGAGTAGTCTGTCAAAGCAGAAAGACCAAACTGAGATTGTAGTAATAAGACAAGAAAATGTTATCACAGAGACAGCCTGCAAAATAACACGTGAAACACTTAATTTCTGTGAAAATGTAGTTCAAGCAGCAGTCACAGAACAATTCAGCATGCAGTCTGGGAAAATCCTAGCACACACCCAAGAGCGACCTGAGCAGGAGCTAAAGTGGAAAAAAGTGAAATAAATTAGGAGGCCACGTTCACCTTAGCAAAAATAAAGCCAGAAACAGATTTTTGTGCTGTGATAAAGACTGAATGGGTTCACTGGTGGGGTTTTCAAATTACATATAGACTTACCGGGCTTCATTTTTGCAGTCATCTTGCTTTTAGTGGAAAGTTGCCTGCTGTTGCTGTATACTCCCTTCTGCGCTAGCTGGAGGCCAATCAAAGATCTGATGAAGACTCCTTTTATTATCAGGCTAAGAGTGATTTCACTAATAGGTGAAGTGTCAGATTTGCCAAGACGCTTGGAGAAACACACAGAGGCACAATACCTCTTCAAGAGCAAATGTGCAATAAAATACTGATGATTCGGTTTTATTAACTACTTTTGCATAAGCTTTCTGGCTAGCAGCATATTATTTTTAAACATGGCTTTGCCTTTTTTTTTGGTAGTAAAGGACTGAGTGGTAGTGAAGGAGCTGCTGATGTAATATCAGGTTCCACTCATTTTGATATCTCAAAATTTAGTTAGACAACTTGAGAAATTTGTGCTATTTGTATTGATTATTTTAGCCCTTGATTCTCCAACAGCAGCTTTAGGAAGTAATCCACAAATCAAGCATAGCTAAAATGGGATTCACCTGCCCTGGTTTGACCATTAAAAGTTCACCATCTCAATCAGAGCTGCTCACCTGAGGCTCCCTTTAGGGCCCATGCAGAGAAGAATGCACCTGCAGAGGGCAATTAATCACCTAAGGCAGCACAAAGATGCCCTTTGGAGGTCTCAATTTCTCTAAGGGAGGTTAGATGAATCATCTCCTTAGTGTGAAAGAAAGTGAACTCTGCAGTAGGGCAGTGACATACGTGATTGTTTGATCACTTTCCTCAGGTGTTCAGTGTATGCACACCTGTCCTGGGGATTTGGGAGGCTCTTCCCACTCAGTCTTGCAGAGTGTAACCATGCCAACAATAGGAAAGCTGAATGTGCATGAGAATGGGGAATAGTGGCTGAAGAGGATGAATGAAAGTGACACTTGAAAACATGCAATTTGAGTTGGTTACTTTGAGAGCCGAGCAGAAGTTGGATTTCCATTGCAGAGCAGTGAGGTACTAGGGGCCCAGGGAGTTCTGTGGGAGTAGCAGTAGGATAAAATAAGATTCCTGAGTTATTACTTGATAACCTGAGGCTACACAATTAAAAAAAAATAAAAGCGCAGCCTGTTGCAGGTGATTTTGGACTGTCACATGGACCTGTGGAGAGTGCAAGCTACGTGAGTGAAGTTTGAATGGGCCGCAGTATTCCCTACTTAAAACTTCTGGAATACGGGAGTGGTTCTTTTCTTTCAGGAAATACAGTTCCTTTTGCACAGTATTTTATGAAACAAATAATTCTGCTTGGTGTAAGCACTGCATCACACAGCAGTTTCCCTTCAGAGAAGTTCTCACCTTCAGTGCCACCTGCCCTGGGATGCAAATACAGGATAATGAATGGAGGAGCCAATGAGACACGTCAAGGGTTGCCTTTAAAAAAACCTTATCAACAACTTTTAATAAAGTCCTTAGGCATCTTCTATTTGCAAGTTACAGCTCTGCTTTGAGTGAGCAGCCTTCAGTTAAGCCCAAAGAGACACTGTTGAAGGTGTAAGCATTATTTTTAGCACCATTTGTTTGGTTCATTCACATGTTTGAACTAAACAACAGCAGTAACACAGTGCCTGATTCTACATCCTCCGAAATCAGCGGAGGTCTGCTATACAGAGAGCAGTAAGCAGTCTCTGAGTCAGAACTGAAGCTAAAACAATTCAGTCAGCCAGTTATAAAACACAGTTCCCCTTTTTCATCTTGCCCTTTGCTGTGCTCTGTACTGCAGTTGGGTGGAATTTTGCTTTGTCTGTTTGGTTTGCTCACTGTCCACCATGTTTTGCTTCTGACCTTTTTAAAATGCTCTGTGTTTCCCACGAATTGTTTTGTTAAACACAGTCTCTTTTCATCAATCAAATGGTCAAATGGTCAGAGTCACTGCTGTCTCTATTTTATTTTTTTTAAAAACTATATTTAGGATAAAACATGGGAACTAGAGAAAGCAAAATATTATAATGCAAAATATATTGCAGGCATTACAGTTTTATTTTTGTAACAAGTTATTTCCATTGATATTCTATTGATAATCTAAGGTATTACCTTAGATTCCCATTTTTTTTTAATCAAAACCACTTAATGTATGAATGATGAGACTTTTTACATATGCATGATCATAGTTTTGAATTGTGTCATCTAAGATGTTTTTTTCCTCCCAAGATGAGCAATCAGGCAGTATTAAAGTGGAATGGCACCCTTAAATCTGGCAGTCTTTCTTTTTGCAACTTAAATAACATTGTTTTAGCATTCTTATACATTTTTGTACGTGTCTAGATGTATAAAGACTACCAAGTAGAAATGTAATTAGAAATTGAATTTGTTACGTGTATATGTGTACACTTTCCCAATTTTACACTCTTCAGTTATAAACAATGGAGTCATTATTCTAGTTTAAATTTTTCTGCCTTAGTATGAAACATTAAATTGTTTTAGCAAGTTGACAGCAGAGAGAAGTGAAAATAAGTGATATCATCATGAAGTATAATGTGTGTAAGAGCCAGGGATTTTACTCCATGTATAGACGTGTTCTTTATTAGATAGGAAATAGCCATTGAAGTATAAACTATGATCTTCTGTTATTAAGGTATTGATGGTTTCTTTCCATAAAGAATACCAGGACTTAATTCAAGATATGTGGACGTTTTCAGATCAGACATACTCAGAATTTAACACCTTGTAGGGAAATGTATAGATCTAAGTTATTTTAATGAAGTATTCCTTGTTCTCCACCATGATAATCCAGATTCGACCATGTAGCTGTAGGACCTTTATTGTGGGAACTTTATTATGTCTGTGATTTCAGAAAAATAATCATACAACCGAGAAGAAACTTCTGATCACTGATGCACTGAAGAAAAGGTCCCCTGTGACCATGTCAGAGGCAAAGCCCTACACTGATGTATAGGCTGTGTCAAAGGCGCTGGCTCTGTGGTGCAGGTTATGTCTAGATTTACTGGTAGAAGTGCAGCTCGTGCAAACCAGAGGCACTTTTAAACTGCCGTGAGTTGGAGGCTGCTCCTGAGTAGGTGCCATAGCACAGAGCTCTGCAGGAGTTCACAAGCGAGAGCAGTAGTCTGGCTAAAGCCTCTGCAGGGTAAGACAGAAACATGCACAGTGACAGGAGTCCATCACAGAATGGCCACGGGGGACTGCAGATGTTTGGGCTGTTCTGAGGGAGCTGCCTTACTTATCCTGTAATCATCACACCAAATCAAAGCACTATTTTTAGGCTTAAGTTGCCTTTCATAACAGTGAGTACTCTGCCCTCTTCTGCAGACTGTAGAGAATTAATCCTGGTAAAAGCCCTCTGCTCTTTTTTGAAAAAGAAGCAGTACAGCCTGGGTGATGTGACATACCTTTTGATAGTTCACATTTTTTTTTTAAATCTGTGGGCTTTCATGAAACTGATAACCAAAAATCCCTTACTTAGATGAGACTTCTTTTCAGCAGTGGATTAAATGAATTGCATTCTTAACTTAAGTATCTGACTATCTTTCTTGTATGCAAAATTTGCCTGCCTTCCCTTTTTGGACCTAACTGAAAAAGGGGTAAAAGCAGGGGATATTACTGAAAGTCTGGATTACACAAATGAATCGACAGCCATTACTTTCTGCATTTGCCTCTACAGTAAAAATTATGCTCACTGTGTGACACAGGTTTAACTCCTGCATTGGCACTGGTTTAGACAGGCTCTGTGCCGGGGTGGAATAGAGAGAACAGCTAGCTGGTAATTAATTATACTGAAAGGGCCTTGGCAAATGTGCTGGGTTTGTATGTCTGGGTTTTGGTAGCAGGGGAGGGGGCTACAGCGGTGGCCCCCTGTGAGAAGCTTCTCAAAGCTCCCCCAGCTCCAGGTCGGACCTGCCTTTGGCCAAGGCCAGGCCAATAAGTAATGGAGGCTACGCCTCTGCAATAACGTATTTAGGAAGGGGAATCTGGGAGAAGGAGTTGGAGTTGTGAAGAGGAGTTGTGAGGAGAACATATGTGCGAACACGGAGGTCAGTAGAAAAAAGGAGGAGGAGGGGAGGAGGTGCTGTGAGCAGAGACCCCCCTGCAGCCCGTGGTGAGAGGGCAGGCTTGCCCCCGTGCCCGTGGAGGTCACCAGTGGAGCAGAT